TGCGGACACCAAGGCGCTAAACGTCCTCCATGGATACCATCACCGCGAAGCACGCCAAGACCTGCCCGCACGTGACGATATACCCGCCACGCCCCCACGGCGAAGCGTCGAACACCAAATTGACCGCCACCCGCTGGCGGTACTGACCCACGCTGTAAGTAGGGAGCCCACAAAGGACGTACGCGCCCAGCTATGTACATGAACACGGCCCCTCGATCTGCGAGACCGGCCGCGCGATACGAACTTTCAGGCAATGCGTACTCTCGAAACCAGCGTGGATTCATGTACGTGTACGTCCTTCTTTCGCTCCTGAGTAAGCGCACTCCAAAGCCCAGCTCTTGCGTCTGGCAAACGCCGCGAGCCAGCGGAGAGCGCGCACCACCCAGGGGCGCGGCACCCCCGCCGGGGACAGCCCTGGGCGAACGAGGCCGCCGACACCTCCACGATGGCCGCCCACAGCGGCGCAACCATGCTCCTGAGGTACGGGATGATCCCGCCCGCCAAGGCCGTCCGCCCCGCGAGTCCTTCAGGCGGGCGACCGGGACCACCGTGACCGCAAGGAGCAGCTCCGCCTTGGAAACCGACTCGGCCACGAACGCGTTTGGCAACGCGTGTGTGACCTCGCTTGGAACGAGGGGGGACTCGCACTTTGGCCTCTATACACGCCACGGCGGTGCCGCGCTGGAGCTTGCGCCAGCATGTCATGTCGGCGGGCCCACAGTGAGCCACCACAGGAGTAGGATCGTTTCGCTGCGGGCCGGCATGGCCGGATCGCCCAGCCACGCGGTCCAAAGGTGGTCCACGTTTATCTGGATCCGCGCCTCCTGTGGCGAAAACAACGCCTGCCCCGAGCGGCAGAGGAACTCCGCGGCCCTCATTCACACGAGCGGCGAGTCGCCGCCGCCGAAGAGGATCGTCTCGCACCCGGTACATCCCCCCAGAAGCCGCGGACGATCTGTCGCCGAAATTCATCCGACGGCACGCCCACAGAATAGAAGGCGCCCACCCAGTCCAACACCAAAATGGCGATGCATGCGCCTCTCGCGCAGGGCACCTCCACGAAGGATATGAGGTCTTTGAGCACGTCCAACAAGCGGGGCAACATGATGCGTTCCGACATCTTCACGTGCTCATGAATCTGCGTCCCATCATGGCGGACCTTGACCGCAGCCGCATCTTCGACGCAACGACGTTCCCGAACCTCGAGAGGAGCGTCTCCCACGAGGGATCCCTCACGACGAAGCCTTTTTCCCGCGAGGCGTTGGATTTCCTCCCCGACGGCGCCATTGCTCTCCTCCACGCTGGCGTAGTTCCGGCGGGCTCCACCAACGCAGTGTTTGTGCAACTCGCAGTGGGCCTCGCTCGTAGTTCCGACGCTCGGGAACGCCCCAGCCAAGGGGATTTCCCGAGCTACGCCCGTCGAGGCCCCATGCTCGAGCCAATCGGCCAAGTGATCTAAGGATCCCTGGCCGCCCAGACGAAAGCCCGCACGAGCCCGGGCCGCCATGCCGAACAACGGCCGCCGCCCAGCCCAGCCCTCCCCGAGAGCACCCACCAGTTCATGCCCCACTCGGCCTCCACTTGGCGACACCCCGGCCCAGACGACGGGTGGCGACGAAGCGGCGACGGGGCGGCGACAGCGAGCACGGAGCCGCCAGACCGACACCCGGGCCCAGCTCCTCAGAACAGAAGTAAGGACTCCTCAGTGCAAGAACTGCTTTGAAAACAAACAAACAAGCAAGCAAGCAAACAAGCAAACAAGCAAGCAAGCAAGCATATATACATGCATACATACATACATACATACATACATACATACATACATACATACATGCATACAGACATACATACATACATACATACGTACGTACATACATACATACATACATACATACATACACACATACATACATACATACATACATACATACATACATACATACATACATACATACATACATGCATGCATGCATACATACATACATACATACATACATACACACACAGACAGACATACCTACATACATACATACATGCATGCATGCATACATACATGCATACATACATATATGTATACATACATACATACATACATGCATGCATGCATGCATGCATACATACATACATACACATACATATACATATGTATATACATATACATATGCATATGGATATATATATATACATATATATACATATGTATACATGCCTCCACACATTCGTACGTACGTGTGTACACATACATACATACATACATACATGCATGCACGCCTGCATGCATACATGCATACATGCCTACATAGATACATGCGTACATGCGTGCATACATACATACATACATACATACATACATACATACATGCATGCATGCATGCATGCATGCATGCATGCATGCATACATATACACATATACATGTACATACCTATATGCATGCATGCATACATGTATACAGGCATGCATGCATACATACATACATACATGCATACATGCATGCATGCATGCATGCATACATACAGACCTACGCATGTACATACATACATACATACATACATACATACATACATGCATACATACGTACGTACGTACGTACGTACGCATGTACATACATACATACATACATACATACATACATACATACAGGCAGACAGACAGGCAAACAGGCAGACATACATACATACATAAACAAACAAACAAACAAATAAGCCAACAAACACAAATACAACAAGCAAACTAACAAACAAACAAACACACAAACACAAACACAAACACACACACTTTTAAAGTAGCGGCCTAGCGCGCAGCGACGAGGCGGAGCAAGTGGTAATACTAAGCGTGCGGACGCGGCCAGGCCCTCAAGAATCGCATAGAAATCAAGCACCTACCGCTTAACAGTATGCCCGGGCGTGGACGGCGGGGAGGTGACACGCTAGCCGAGGACCCTGCCCGACACGGCGGCATGAGCAGAGGAGATGCGGGCACACAAGCACACACACACATACACGCAACACAAAACAGAAAACTACTGACTTCTGTCGCATTTGCCAACCGCTTCTTGCACGAACACCTTGTCGCAACTGACGACCAACCCTCTAACAGCTGCCCCGTAGACAGTTGTCAGCTCACCCCTGCACCAGTCAAGCAACGACATTCGGCGGTGGACAAACCTCCCTTCAGTAAATCTCCAATTAGCGAAAACGGCCTAGGACCGAAACCGACGGACCCGGACCCGCAAAAATAACGGCCGCGACGCCCTCTCGCGAACCGAAAGCGGCCAATTCGCTAATCGACGTGTCAGGGTACTCCAGATTTCGTAATAAAAGGGAGGGGGTCTGAACCCTCCAAGACGAGCCATTTCAGACCTCCCCCGTGGGAGAACCCTCCAAAACATCGTCCCCAGACCCCCCCAGGCCCTCCAAGATAGCCTGCAAGAGACCCCCCCTCGAAATAAGACCCCCCTCCCTTTATTACGAAATCTGGAGTAGGAGGTCTGTCAACCTCCGAGACATGTGCTCCTCAGCGTGGTGGCGACGGCGGCGCGCACCGCAGGCGGACTTCCGCCTCTCTTGACTGTTAAGAAGCCTGCTTAGAAGCCTCCAGGCCCTTCTAAGAATTGGGTAGGGCATGTCCTCCTACAGGCGGACTGTGGACGAAAAAATAAAAATACCCTGCAAAACTGCTCAAACATTATGAAAAAATGTAAAAACAAAAAATCGCCCCTGACTATTGCTTGACTATAATGGAGCATTCCTCCTGCAGAGGGACATGCCCGACTTAATCTAAGAAGCCTCCCGCATTCTTAGAAGACCATCCCCTTCGCGCCAACCCCTCGTGCGCGCCGCTCATGGCAAACGAAGTGCTCCCAGCAGGAACTTCAAGACAGGTGGCATTAGAAGTTCGACAGGCGCTGGGGGCGAAATGTGTATATTTTTGTTCCTCCTCATGTTTGGGCGTTGGAGGCCGAGATATGACGACTGCATTACGGCTGGCAGCATGGGACGTCGCAAGGTTGTGGAGAAGCTGCGGATAACGATGTTGGTGGCGTACAGGCCTCTCCTCCTCCTCCTCCTCCTCCTCCTCCTCCTCCTCCTTCAGAGAAAGGTTTGCGGGGCAGGAGGCAGGCACGGCTGCCGCACACAAGACTTCCAGCTCAGCCGAGACCTCAGGGGCACTCAGTGGCAGCCGCTCTGATGATCGCGCGAGTGGTCTCCAAGGAAGGGGGCGGTCAGCGGCATCAGCAGCAGGTGCAGGATGATGGAGAGCCCCCAAACGGGGTGGTGACCACACCGTGTGGTGAGTCGGTGGGGATTCGGGGTCACCGCACGGTGCTGGGACTCGGGTCGTTCTCCGAAGACTTCTCAGGCGACTGGGGCATCCGAGGTCCCACAGCCGTGCGTTGACGGACCGTGCGGTGAGGTCTTGGGGGAGTTCGAGGCCACCGCACGGTCTGTCACCGCACCGCGTCGGGACTCCAAAGATGAGGAGGGAAAAGCGCACGGCCGAGCGTGCCAGAGAAAGCTGCGGCTGGCGACAGTGATCGAATGCAGGGCCGCACCTCCGTCGGATCCTGTGCACCGGTGCAGCGAGAGGCACAGCACCCATGGAACCTTTTGAAACGTACATCCTCCTCCTCCCACTCCTCCCCCTCCCCCTCCTTCTCCTCCTCCTCCTCCTCCTCCTCCTCCTCCTCGTCCTCCTCCTCCTCCTCCTCCTAGGATGGATCGTTGTGGGCTTAACGCGCTGGAGCTTCCACGATTTCTCCAGATGTATCTGAACATCTCTGGGTGTACCTCGAATCAACTGGCCTTACCTTGAGCTGAGTCGATGTACCTCGGGTGTTTTAGCTTGTCCCAAAAGTCGATTGGAGAAGAGTCATGAAGCCCTAAAGGAATGGGGGAGGAGGAGGAGGAGGAGGAGGAGGAGGAGGAGGAGGAGGAGGAGGAGGTGGAGGAGGAGGAGGAGGAGGAGGAGGACGACGACGACGAGGAGGAGGAGCGCGAGCGGGGAGTCGTAGATGCCGCTGGCGTAGTAGTAGAAGTCCATGCGGCTCGCCTGGGCGCAGTACAGCGGGAGTCCCTCGTCGTCTTCCTCCTCCTCCGTATCCTCTGTTTCCTCCTCCTGTCCCCTCATTTGTCCCCTCACCTGTCCCCTCCTCCTCCTCCTCCTCCTCCTCCTCCTCCTCCACCTACTCGTCCTCCTCCTCCTCCTCCTCCACCTACTCCTCCTCCCCCTCCTCCTCCTCCTCTTCATCCTCCTCATCCTCCTCCTCAGCAGCAGCAGCAACAGCAGCGTCCTCATTCATCATCATCATCATCATCATCATCATCATCATCATCATCATCATCATCATCATCATCATCATCATCATCAGCAGCAGCAGCAGCAGCATCATCAGCATCATCAACATCATCATCATCAGCATCATCAGCATCATCACCATCAACACCATCATCATCATCATCATCATCATCATCATCATCATCATCATCATCATCAGCATCAGCATCACCAGCAGCAGCAGCAGCAGCATCATCGTTACCAGCACTATCATCAGCATCATGAACGTCATCGCGTCTTCATCATCATCAGCAGCATCATCAACATCATCACCATCATCGTCATCATCAACATCGTCATCGTTATCAGCAACAGCATTATCATCATCATCATCATTATCATAATCTGCATCATCATCATCATCATCATCATCATCATCATCATCATCGTCATCATCACCCGTATTATCATCAACATCAGCATCATCATAATAAGCATCATCATCATCAACAGCATCATCATCACCATTGCCGTCGCCATCATCACCATCATCATCTCCATCATCAGCATATTCATCAGCATCAGCATCAGCATCATCATCACCAACATTCACATAGCCATCATCACCATCAGCAGCATCATGAATATCATCATCACCAGCATCGTCATCAGCATCAGTATCAGCATCAGCATCATCATCAGCAGCATCAGCATCATCAGCATCATCGGCATCAGAATAATCATGATCATCATCATTATCACCACCACCATCATCATCATCACCAGCATCATCATCATAAGCATCGTTATAATCATAGGCATCGTCATCCGCATCATAACCACCACCACCATCATCAGCATCAGCATCAGCATCACCACCACAATCATTATCATCATCATCATCATCATCATCATCATCATCATCATCATCATCATCATCATAATCGGTATCATAATCATCATTTTCAGCATCATCACCGTCATCAGAATCATCATCATCCGCATCGTCGTCGTCGGCGGCGGAGGCGACATCAGCATCATCATCATCATCATCATCAGTGTTACCATCGCCGTCGTCATCAGCATCATCATCAACAGCATCAGCATCATCATCAACAGCATCATCGTCGCCATCATCTGCATTATCATCAACAACATCATCACCAGTATCATCATCACCATAACCATCATCATCACCATCAGCATCATTATCAACATCACCATCACCATCATCATCAGCAGCAGCATCATCACCATCATCATCATCAGCAGCAGCATCATCAGCATCATCATAATCGTCATCATCATCATCAGCACCATCATAAGCATCATCATCAGCATCATCCGTATCATCATCTGCATCATCATGATCATCATCATCATCATCATCATCATCATCAGCGATATCATCAGCATCATCATCAGCATCGTCCGTATCATCATCATCGTCATCGTCATCGTCATCATCAACATCATCATCACCATCATCAGCAGCATCAGCATGATCACCCTCATCGTCGTCGTCGTCGGCGGAGGCGGCATCATCATCATCATCATCATCATCATCAACAGAATAACCATCACCGTCGCCGTCGGCGTCATGAGCATCATCATCAACAGCATCAGCAGCATCGTCGTTGCCATCATCATCATCATCAACATCCTCGTAGCCATCATCATCAGCATCATAAACAATATCATCAGCATCATCATCAGCAGCAGCAGCATCATCAGCATCATCATCACCATCACCATCATCAGCGTCATCATCAGCATCAGCATCAGCATCAGCATCATCATCATCATCATCCCCCTCCTGCCCCCCCACTCCTCGGCATGTTCCTTCTGCCCCTGTTGCTCAGTACATTTCCTGCTGCTCATCCTCCATCCCTCCCCCCATATACATAACTCCTCCTCGCCGCACCACCAAATGTGTTGGTAGGGAGGGCCAGACGGTTCGAGAGCCTTGAAATGCCACACCCTTACATGGACGAAGGCGGGCCGTTTTGAACATGTGGCTCTCTCTGTAGCGCCGCGAAGACTTGCCGTGAAAGCTTCCATCCACTATGCGGATAGAGAGCGCGTCGCTCCTAAAATGCGGCTTCAGCATCAGCGCCGCGAACACGCGTCATTTAAAATCCCAGCATGCGTCTCTTGATTTAAAAATCGTTGCTGCTTGATGACGTGAAGTATATACTTATGCCAAAGTCACAAGGGGTAAGGGCGGTGCCTTGTCAAATTGGGGCTTCGCCGCGGCGACGAGACCTCCTTCATGTCTGCGATTGCACGCTTAGGATTGCACAGCCGCAAACGTATTGAGTAACGCCGTCCTCTTGGCTGGCTCTCGCTGGACATCCTCTTGAACCTTATGATCCTACCTCTTTGCATCCATTCTAGCCAAAACGATGCATCACAATTCCATTCTGAAACGGGTATCTTTCCTGACTGGCCGGCACACGAGGTGTACGTCTTTCAATGAGGCGCGCCTCGTAGTTAGGACTGTTCTGTTCGCAGGAACTTACAAGGAGGGGCTAATTGACGGTAAACCGACGCTAAATCGGCGGCGCTTGCTCATCGATGATCAGACGCCAAAGAACGCTACAGCACTCTGACGACAAAATTACGAAGACATACAAGGCTGCCATGCTGCGGGGATCCCCACCGATGGCGCTCGGAGGCGCCTCGATGGAGACGCTGATGGGCCCGTGCACGACCAGCGCCACGGTCAGCACTTCGATGGCGCCCTTCTCGCCTTCCGAGGTGATGAGATGCGATACGACCACCGTTGCGGACAGAGTCCGGGTCTAACTCAGACCAGCTGGAAAAGGCCGTGGCCTCGCGAATCTGGTTAGTCTGGATACACAAATCGCGAATCTGGCTTCTCGCCTTCCGGGTTCCATTGGGCAGCCATCCCACCCCCCAACCCCCTCGTCGTCGTCGCCATAGTCGTCGCTCTAGCTGTCCTGGTCGTCGTCGTCGTCGTCCTGGTCGCCCTGGTCGTCCTCGTCGTCGTCGTCGACGTCGTCGTCGTGCTGGCCTTCCTGGTTATCGTCGTCGTGGCCCTGGTCGTCGTGTCCGTAGACGTCGTTCTGGCTGTCCTGGTCGTCGTTCTTATCGTTCTGGTCGTCGTCCTGGTCGTCGCTGTCGTCCCTGTCGTCCAGCTCATCGTCGTCCTGCTGCTCCTCCAGCTCATCCTCGTCCTTCCCCAGTGCATCATCATCATCATCATCATCATCATCATCATCATCATCATCATCATCAGCATCATCAACATCATCATCATCATCATCATCATCATCATCATCATCATCATCATCATCATCATCATCATCATCATCGTCATCGTCATCGTCATCATCATCATCATCATCATCATCATCATCATCATCATCATCATCATCATCATCATCATCATCATCAGAATCATCACATCATCATCATCACATCAGCATCATCATCATCATCATCATCATCATCATCATCATCCTCATCATCGGCCATCATCCTCCTCCTCATCATCATCATCATCAGCTCAGCATCAGCATCGCATCAGCATCAGCATCAGCATCATCAACATCATCATCATCATCATCATCAGCATCAGCATCAGCATCAGCATCAGCATCATCATCATCATCATCATCATCATCATCATCATCATCATCATCATCATCATCATCATCATCATCATCATCATCATCATCCTCCTCATCCTCATCCTCATCCTCATCCTCATCCTCATCCTCATCCTCATC